TCCCTTTGGTCCTGAGTAAAAATCCCCATAACTGCTAAATGGGTGACTTTTCCTTATAATTAATAATGTTAGCATGCTAAACTAAGGGAAACAAGGTGAACACTGTAATGCTATCATTCTAAAAACTAGCCCAGCTTGTTAGCATGTTGATTTCAGTCTTTAACTGAAAGCACAGCTGGTGAATGGACTGCTTCAGAGGGTGTCTTCTAATCTTGTTTTCTATTTGAGTCCTTACCGTCCTGGCTCAGTTTCACATCTTCTGTTTTGTAGTCACCGTCATCATGTTCTACATGACCAAGAGGTTGACAAACGTATCTGTGTTCCCATGAACCACCTGTGGGAGAACCAGGCATCTTACACTGTCTGCAACAGCTCCTTATCAGAGTATGGAGTTGTAGGTAAGACTAGACTAAGCAGCTGAATATCATGCTGAGGATATTTGGTTGTTCTGAATAATCATGTCTATGACTTCAGGTTTTGAGCTTGGCTTTGCCATGGCTAACCCAAATGCTTTGATCCTCTGGGAGGCCCAGTTTGGAGACTTTCACAATACAGCCCAGTGTATCATTGACCAGTTTATTAGCTCAGGACAGGCCAAGTGGGTTCGCAATAATGGCATTGTCCTACTGCTGCCACATGGAATGGAAGGAATGGTGAGATCATGTTAGAATTTGGACACTGCTGGGTTATTTGTCACAATTCATCATGTATTTTGTGCGTATTTATTGTTTGTCTTGATTTGTCCTTAGGGTCCAGAGCATTCATCAGCTCGGCCTGAACGCTTCCTGCAAATGACCAAAGATGATCCAGATCACATCCCTGTATGTTCACATGCAGTAGGAGTGGTTTCCTCTTCTTAATGCCATGATTTATTTCAGATCATTTCTAGTCTATCATTTATTTCTCTGAACATTGCACTGCGATTAGCATTCTTTACCTTCCTGCTTTACTGGCTGTGCTGACATCATAGCTACTTAGGTGATTGCTTAAGTGATGATTGCCCATTTCTGTAGAGTTGAAAAGTCTCTTCATCATGGCCTCTAAGTGTTGGTATTCAGCAGCAGTTCAGGTCCCCAGTGACCAGTTGCTGCGAGGGAACATAAAAGAGGGAACATAGCGGAGGCTGTATCAGCAGAAGCTTACCAGATTCATCTTCAGATGGGGTTATTGATTGAACTATTAGTGAGGATTAACATTCACTGTCCTCTGTGTACTGTACTTGTGTGTGTGTGTGTGTGTGTGTGTGTGTGTGTGTGTGTGTGTGTATATGCATGCAGGGGAGAGATACAGTGCACTCACGCAATTATGTGCTCTATCTTCTGCCCACTTATGAGAAGTGGCATTGTCGCCAGAAGATAGAACTACAATTTCTTTTTTCAAAGTCATTACCTTTAGAGTTAATATCATTTATTTAACTTCCATGAAGGAATTCACCGGAGACTTTGATGTCCAGCAGCTGTATGAATGTAACTGGATTGTGGTCAACTGCTCCACTCCTGCTAACTACTGTCACGTGCTCAGGCGACAGATTTTGCTGCCATTCAGAAAACCGGTAAAGTGTGATATCACCATTACTACAGTATGGTTTCTTTATGTCTCACTTAGGTTGCTTTTGTCCTTGTCATATAGTACTTTAAATAAAAAAAAAAAAGATCAGATCAGAGCTTTCAAATCACACATCACGTATAAACCCCTTTTTTCTCTGACGATAAATCGAGAGCACACCTGATATTTCCTGCAGAATATTTTGTTTTCTTTGGGTCATTTTTGTTACACGACTGAAATCAAAATCATAGTTGGGAAAGTGTGAGATGTGATGTTTCTATTATAAGAGGCTCAGTTTGGCGATATTCATAATTCGGTCTATATGTTCCTGCACTTAAAAAAAAGAAAGTAGAATTAGCTCAGCTCTAAAGTTTCAAAGTGTAAAGCATTTGTCTTTTCTTTTTTCTATATGCTCTTTTTTGTCTCACAGTTTTCAGGCACAGTGAATGTCTTAACTGATCCCCTGTTGTACATAAATGCGATGCTTTGCGAAGCGTGAGAAAATTAGTTCCAGAGCAAATTAGGGAGGAAGCCTACAGGGGATAATATTGTTGGTTTTTTATGGAAAAACTTCGAAGTTCTGGACTTGGTCGACCGAGCACAAAGGGTTTTATTTATTTGATTGTTAAAGAATTGTTTTGTTTTCCCAGTGCTGATGTTGCGTGCTATATGTTGGTAATAAATTAGCGTGAAAAAAGAGATAAAAACTTTTTTCCTCTGGAGTTTTTTCAGCGCACACAATGAAGATACGGCTGACAGGATAAATCTGTTGTTTGTCAGTGACGGAAACTTTTTCCCTTTTCTTCTCCCCTTCAAACAGCTGATCATTTTCACTCCTAAATCTCTGCTCAGGCATCCGGACGCAAGGTCAGGTTTTGATGACCTTGCCAAAGGTAGAGCTTTACCTTTAAGCGTGACATAACTTTTAATGTTTTATGTGTGTATTTATTTGCATTTATTACTAATGTTCAATATGCATTATGTTTGCAGGCACTAAATTTAAGAGACTGATTCCTGATGAGGGCCCTGCAAGTCAAAGCCCAGGCCAAGTAAAGAGGGTTATCTTCTGTGCAGGCAAAGTCTACTATGAACTAGCTAAGGAGAGGAAGCAGCAAAATTTGGACAGAGATGTTGCCATAATCAGGCTTGAACAGGTTTTTAGTTCTTCTTCTCTGATTTTAAAATGAGACTGACACTGTGTGGTCATTTCTTCATCGGTCATTTTTTGGTCTCCAACTCTCAGATCTCTCCTTTCCCGTTTGACCTGGTCAGTGAAGAGGTGGAGAAATACGGCAACGCTGAGCTCATCTGGTGTCAGGAGGAGCACAAGAACATGGGTTACTATGATTATGTCCGACCACGCTTCCTCACAGTGGTTGCCAACAAGAAACCCATTTGGTAAGAATGTTTATTTATCATCTCACTTCTAGTTAGAGAACTAGCCAAAGCATTTGAGCTCTTGTTGCAGGTGATAAACCTTACGTGTTTGTTTCAGGTATGTGGGACGAGATCCTGCGGCTGCACCGGCGACAGGAAACAAATCTACTCACCTCAATGAGCTGAGGAAGTTTATGGACACTGCTTTCAACATGAGCTCCTTCCAAGACTGAAACTTGTAAAGGAGAAGGTCATTTCATTGTTTTGATGTGGCTTAGTCTTAGGTTGAGGGTCATTAAAAACCTATCTCTACACAATTGTTTAAGAATAAAAAGTTCCTTATGAACATTAAGCATAAGCACTAAGCCACAGAATGGTCAATCCTGCATCTTCTGTTGTGTGGTAGAGTGTAGTACACCAGTATTGTTCACACAGCCACGCAGAACTGTGACAATCATTATTGGAGTGGTTTCACTACTTCAAATATTCTTTTGCTGTTATGCTGAATACTGCTAAATAACTATTTTGATATTTATTTTGATTGTAGCTATGAAACACACCCAAAACACCCCAGAGGTACACTTTAACAATAACTATGAATCGCATGTCACAGGTATGAAAACTGTGCTGAAACTTAACACATCAGTAGATTTTATAGCCTGTTATTGTTTGGCTACCTTAGCTGTTTGTGAAGGAGTGTGTATTTATTGTCACACATCACTTCACCAGGAGACATGAGCCAGCTGGCACAGAGACTTGCAGCCATGTTTTCTACTTAGGACATAAGGCTCAGCTTTTTCTTCTGAAGCGCTGGGACACGCACACACATAAACAAAGAACAGCCTTGGATGCTCAGAGAGCAATATTGATGCATGGTTGTCACATTAAAATCCCCAGATATCAAACACAAATGATATTAGAAAAGCTCCTTAAAATTATACTTCTTGTCTAGCTGCGCTGTAGTTTACCTTTCCAACGTAGAGCTGGGAGATTTAACCAGTAATGCAGAAACATAGTTTTGCATATTTAGTGATTTAAAAGAGGTTTATACATGACTGTTTAGTAAATAGGGAAAGAGCCACATATTCATGTGGGAGCTGAAATATGTGCTCAACATGATATAACTGCACCTACAGGGAATAATTTGAATATGCAATAAATATGTTTTAATAAATGAATGACCTGGCATACATACAACAGTTTGAACTGATGAGTAAAGTTACAGGTCATCTGTTAATCTATGATAGGTTGAAATAGGATTTTGCTCACTGACACAAATGATTTAATGATCCTGGAGCTATTTTGTAATTGTTTTCAGATTTTGTGTGTCCTTAATTTTCTATTAATTCCATAAATGTGTCTTTAAAAATATGTGGGCTGTCCTGTCATGTGAACCAAATATAGATGAACGCAATATCAAGCAGTGGCATGGAGGTTTTAATTAAAATGTAGGCTTTATCTCACTGAAACTCTGCCTATCTTAGTGAATGAAATTCTTATGCAAATCTGTAATTAAAGAAATTACAATGGAATTTCGATCGAAGCCACAAAATTCTAATGGATTATGGCCATAAGCCCAAAATGCACAGACTCATGCTTTCATATTCTGACCTTACCATTAGAAATTGAGACTCATAAGACCAGGCAACTTTTTCCAATCTTCTGTTTATCAATGTTGGTGAGCCCGTTTGAACTGTAGCCTCATTTTCCTGTTCCTAGCTGAAAAAAGTGGCACCTGGTACGTTCTTATGCAGCTGTAGCCCATCTACAGCTTTAATGCTTTAAATGTTGTGCATTCAGAGGCCCTTTTCTGCATACCTCAGTTGTAATGGCTGGTTATTCGAGTTAGAGTAATCTTCCTATCAAATCGAAGCAGGCTGGCCGTTCTCCTCAGACCTCTAGAATTGACAAAATATTTTCACCCAGATAAATATTAGTCACTGAATATTATGTCTTTTCCAGAGCATTCTCTGTAAATGTAAAGATAGTTGTGCAGGAAAATCTCACATAACAAGAAGTTAAACATGTGAACCTAATAAATTGACTGGTGTTTATAAATGAATCCATACAGTGGTGTAATTGCATAATATGTACAGTTTTTAATTGCATTTTTTAAATATGGGTTTATTTTCAGTAAGCACTCTCCACTGCAGCAACAGCCTCTCTGCAAACAGGGTCCAGTTTTCCATCTCCGCCTTTGGGGAAAAACAAAAACCAAAAGGTTTTCAGACTGAGTGACGTCATCACGACCTATCACTTTAAGTTGATTTGTAGCTCCACGTTAATCCCACAAACCTTACATGTATCCCAGTCAACCAAACTTACCAAACTCCAGATCCTTTATGTTACAGGTGAAAACGACCTCCCCGCTGACCACGAGCTCCACAATATTCCACTCGCGTGTTTCTTCCAAAACGCACAGGTGCCCGCGCGCTCTCAGAGCGGCTGCAGACATATTGGATCGGTCATTAAAACAAAACAAAAGTTTTATAACATGGACGAAGGCAGATGACAAGCATGACATGCATGAATCTCAATAAAGCTGGATATGAGACAGACCCTGGAGACCCTGGAGGCGGAAGGTCCTGTGTTGTATTACTCCGCTGGATTTATAAGGTCCGTAGCAAAGTGTGACCCGCGCATTTGCTGGCATTGTTTGTTGTGTGTCACCTGGGTAACTGATTCAATATGCATCGATTGCTGGCATGGTTAGCCTATGTGGGCAGATCAAAGAAAGAGAAGCAATCTATAACCATCGGTTTCTGCGCCACCGCAGACTCACTGCTGATCAGTGTTTATTACAAATGTTCACACCAAGACATACATACTTTTCAAAGAAATTAGCCCGTTATTGATCTGGGCTGATTTTTCTTTAGTTTTGCTTTTTGCTGCTGTCCTTCTCACTGCTGATATCAAGAGATATTACCTATAACCCAATCAGGTTGCACAGGTCAACACGTTCTCACTCCCAACTCGTCAAACGTGTGACGCATGGTCAGGCTCCCTCTGCTTCACTTATGGACGCGCAGGGTACCCCCCTCGCGTCGAGAACTGACGTGAAGGGTCCTCCGATTGAAGAGATTGCCGCGGAAGTGCCTGTTGTCGGCATATTTAGACATTTTCCAAATCACAGTGTAGTGACGTATACAGAACACAATAAATTATATAATGTAAACAACTACCTGAAAAACAGGTAGAACAATACTTTTGTATCGTTTATTGCATTTATGGAGGGAGTGATGTATGCTGGGTAATGGCACAGCTAGCTACTGGGTGACTTTATTCACCCGCTTCGGCTGTTATCAGTCCATACAATGGGCGTTATTAGCACAAATCAGTCCCATAGATATGGGCCATCTCCTGCTGGATTTTTCAGAAGGTTGTTCTCATCCATCCAGATGGAGGATCACTAACAGGAGCGTGGGAAGACTCCAGAATCCACTCTGGCTGGAATCCGGTGGATATGCAGTGTGTACAGGTAAGACCATTTAAACGGACAGCATTTATAGAATGACTGTTAAAAGTCAGCGAGTGTCAGTAATGTTAACGTGGTATCTTAGTAATACACAGAGTGCTAATATAACAGCTTTAAGATGCATTTGTAGATATTATTACGTGTTTTACCGTCTTTATGGTGCTAGCTTAAACGTTAGCTTATATTGGAGTAAAGCTGTTACTGGTTAAACGATGTTAGCACAGAAATATTAGCTTCTGTCATGACTGATGAAGTTACTAGTTAATAAAGTTTTCAGTAAAGTGATTAATCGCAGCCACAGATTGACAGAAAATATCTCGATTAGCTTCAGTATGTGACCAAGTGGTCGGCGGGGTTATGCACAAAATAAATAAACTTAACAACGCCACCTAGGGGAATTACACCCCCAGGAAATATATTTAAGAAAAATAAATAAAAGGAATAAAAGAAGACCGCACAGATTCAAGGATGCACACTGAGGCAGGTTGGCTTCCAATATTAAAACAGTTTTATTTATAGAAATAAATAAAATATTATAAATAATATTTTATAAATAAAATATTAAAAGTCAAGATGTAGCGTCATTATTGACAGTGTCCTACAGTAAAAATAAACAATCGTGGAACTTGGACTTACCAGCAGCCGTGGAACCAAAAGAAAATCACACCAAAAGAATCACTGCAGACCACCCAGTGCTGTACAAAAGAAAGTGTGAAAACGACCCACCACCTGAGGTCCCAGGGCCACTGGCTCGTCCTCCTTCACTGAAATAAAACACAGAAAAGTATGTTAAAAGAATAAAAGGACACTGAGCGTCAGGCTCGCTACAAATCATAAAAAGACTAAAACACACGTTAATAACTTTAATAAAAGAAATCACACACACACACACACACACACACACACACGGCTTATTCCCCACGGGTCAAACTACCACTCGTGCTGGTAATAATTATTCTCAGGCGTAGGCCGGTCTGGCTCCCCACCGGCTGAGACCGGCCACCCAGGCGATTTAGAGTCCCAGCACGACACTCGGGCAGAGAATCACTTCAGCCCGATCACAGAAGTGTGGGTACGAGCAACAGTCCAGGGTAAAATAGAACACCAGGCGAACCCAAAAAAAGGTAAGCCTACTTAATAAAAACAAGATAAGACAAAACAAGACAAGACAGCAGACTCCACCAAGGAGGAGTTCACAACAGCAACTGAGAAGGCAGTCCACTCTTCCAATTTAGGTTGGACAATTTACCATGGAGAGGTGAGTACAGCAGTGAACCCTGAAACAGATAAGTGTAACCTTAAACTCTTATAGCTATGAATGCTAATAAAAGTAGTTCTAACAGCTTACCCCAGGACCAGAGGCACTATACTCTCATTGGTGGAGATACCACGAACACCTCTCTCCGCAATGGCAGAATTAAACAGACTGCTGCGCTACAACAGGCCGGAAAAGGATATTAACACCAATTCCAGTATTCGGAGGGAATCCAAGGTTAAGCGAGAGCATACCTGTAGCTGTCGTATAATCGGCTCTTGCTGATCAATCCGTCGCAGTACGCCAGCATTTACTGCTGTATCGTACCAGAAGCTCGGGAGGAATTAATCCAACAAGACATCGGCTTAGCTTTATACAGGCTAGCGCCACCCTGCAATCAATGTGCAGGTGGGTTCCCAATTAACCCGATCACCTGATACAAGGAGCGAGTGCAGTGGAAAGAGAGCGAGGGTGGTAGAGCGAGCGAGAGAGAGAGAGAATGAGAGAAGAAAAACAACGGAAGGCGAGTAGCCCATCTGGCTACATCTACCCCCCTTTTTTGTATTGGCGCCCCGACAATAACTCAAGGAACCTAACACCATGGCCTGAATATGGCAAGCTGAGCATTAGCAACTGACGCAGATTCAACAGGACGTGGCAAGTGATAAACATTTGAGTGATGACCAGCTGTTGAACGTGCTGTTCTCCGCAAATGTGGCCCACTCACCTCAGACTGTTCAACAGAGCCTGAGGAAGAACCTGGGGGAGCAGAGGTCGAGGGTGCTACAATCACACTGGGAGTAGACCTGAGCTCCACCGATGGAACTCTAGAGGCATCGGGGAGTGACACCACAGGTGCGACAGGGTGTGAGGGTACCTCAGGGACAAGGAGCCACAACTCGTCGTCACTCAGAGAGGTCTGCTCTGAGTCAGCGGGTACAGGTGGGGGTGGAACCGGTGGACCAGGTGTAGGTGGCCCTAGGCTGACCTGTGCCTTTAACATGTCACGATGGACATGTCGAACCTTCTCCAAGTCTCCCACGGGGGCAATGGTATAAACAGCCCCGTTCTCTTGGGGTGCCCTCAACACCTGATAGACCACAGAGCTCCAAAGGTCCTGGATCTTGTGCCGGCCCCGGGTGCTATGATCTCGAAGATACACCAGCTGACCGACCTTTAAAGGAACAGGGTGGACTCTCTGGTCATGCCGTTCCTTACGGCGGTCAGCGGCCAGCGACAACCGTGCCCGAGCTCCCTCAAAAGCCACCATTAACCTGGCTTGGTGCTCGGCCACCCAGTCCTGTACCTCTCCAGGCACTGGGTCCTGAACGCGGCCTAGAAGGAAATCAATAGGCAGCCTAGGATCCCTGCCAAACATCAAGAGAAACGGTGACTCTCCGGTGCCCTGATGTGGCGTGCTATTATAGCAAAAGAGCACATGCGGTAAGCATGCAGCCCAGTCGCGTTTCTGAGATGATGGCAGAGTCCGGAGGAGGTTATGGAGGGTTCGGTTAAACCGTTCGCACTGCCCATTACCCGCTGGGTGGTAAGGGGTTGTACGGGACTTGGCTACCCGATACAATTCGCATAACTGTTGCATCACCAAACTCTCAAAATTTCTACCCTGGTCAGAGTGGAGGCGGCTTGGAACGCCAAACTTAAAAAACCACTCTGTTAACAGGGCCTGGGCCACAGTAGAGGCCCGCTGGTCCCGAGTAGGGACTGCAACAGTGTATTTGCTAAAAACGTCAGTCATAACCAAAACGTTTTCAACTCCACTACGGGAAGGTTCCAACACCGTGAAGTCTATGGCCAGGATTTCATTTGGCCTAGACGCCAACAGGTGACCCATATAACTATGAGGCCCCAACCCTGAGTCCTTTGCGACCTGACAGCGTTCACAACGCTGAACCCATTGCTTGATGTCAGAGGACATCCCGGGCCAATAGCAACGCTGCCTGACCAGTTCAGTGGTGCGCTCAATACCTTGGTGCCCATGGTCCTGGTGCAGCTGCCTCAAGGTCTCAGGCTTCAGAGCCTCTGGGAGAACAAGTTGGAGGGCTTCCTCACCTCCACCTGGACGCAAAATACGGCGATAAAGGATGCCATCCTTCTCCACCAGACGATCCCACTGACGCAGCAGAACCATGACTGGTTTGGGGAGCTGATTCCTTTCCTCCGAAGAGGGCAGGGTGTGCCTCCTCCAGTGTACCAAGAAATCCTTGAGGAGGGGGTCAGCCTCCTGCAAAGCACGAATATCCTCCAGGGAGTGAGATGGAAAGGCCCCAATCTCCAACTGAGTAACGGAGGGCAAAACGGCTGGACACTGAGCCTGCCGAAGTGAAGTCGGGACACAAGTCCCAGGCAACACACCCTCGGCCAAGCTGGAGCTCGTCTCATACTGTCGAGAGAGAGCATCAGCATTCCTGTTACTGCGGCCTGAGCGATACTTGATCTCAAAATCGAATGCCGCCAGCTGGGAGGCCCACCTCTGCTCGGTGGCACCCAGCTTAGCTGAAGAGAGGTAACTGAGTGGATTGTTATCGGTGTAAACCACACACTTCTGCCCCAGCAGGTACTCCCGGAACTTCTCGGCCATGGCCCACTTGAGTGCAAGAAACTCCAGCTTCATGGAGCTGTAATTGTCCATATTGCGCTCATGTGGCCGAAGACCTCGACTAGCATAAGCCACTGGCCTAACGACACCTTCTACATCTTGGGAGAGAACTGCACCTAAACCACTGTGGCTGGCGTCAATCTCCAAGATAAATGGGCGCGTAAAGTCAGCATATGCTAGCACAGGTGCAGACACAAGCTTTGCTTTCAGGGCCTCAAAGCTCTCCTCACACTGAGGGGTCCAAATAGCACTCAAACTCTGTCCCGAGCCCTTCTTTGTCTTTGTGCCAGCCGATTTAGCCACCACTTGATGCAGGGGAGCCGCCAATGCGGCAAACCCCTCCACAAAGCGCCGGTAATAGCTGGCGAAACCCAAAAAGGATCGCAACTCTGACACGGAACGAGGACACTGCCATTTGGCTACTGCGTCAACCTTGGCTGGATCGGTCGAGACACCCTCACAGGAGATTACATGGCCCAAGTAGTTAACCTTCTGCTGGAAAAAGGCACACTTTTCTAACTTAGCCTTGAGCCCCTGTTGCTGCAGCCTTGCCATCACCATCTCTAGCCGTTGCAGGTGCTGAGAGACAGACGAGGAGAACACAATGATGTCGTCTAGGTACAGCAGTAATGACTGGCACTGCTGATCCCCGAACATCCTCTGCATTAGGCGCTGAAAGGTACCAGGAGCATTGCACAGCCCGAATGGCATACGATTCCACTCGAACAGGCCAAACGGCGTGCAAAAAGCGGTCTTGGGCTTATCCTGCTCAGAAACTGGCACCTGGTTGTACCCGCTGGCCAGGTCGATGGTAGAAAACCAGCGTGCGCCAGCTAGGGCATCCAGACTTTCCTCGATGCGAGGTAAGGGGAAGGCGTCCTTCCTTGTTTTGCTATTCAGCAAACGATAGTCAACGCACAGCCGGAGGCTTCCATCCTTCTTGCGGACCAACACGATGGGAGAGGCATAAGGGCTGCTACTTTCCCTAATTACCTGGGCCTCCAGTAGCTGGTTGATATGAGCCCTGACAGCCTCATAATCAGAAGGAGGAATTCGCCTGTACCTCTGCCGGACAGGTGCGTCATCGAGTAGCGGTATGTCGTGCGAAATGAGGTTTGTGCAGCCCAAGTCTCCCTCATAAGTGGAGAAAACAGAGCGGTACTTCCGCAAAAGTAACCGTACCTCGTGTTGCTCTGACTCAGCGAGAGCAGACAGGTCAATCGTATCCACCATCTCTTGAGCAGGGCTGCTGGTTGTATGGGAGGAAACGGTAACGGGAAAAGAGTGTTCCTCGCTAACACCGGCAGGGAGGCTAACAACAGTAGCTTTGCTTATCACTCCCAAACGGGTCCGCGGGTGGAGAACAGCTTCCGCTGTCCCTACATTGGTGACTGGGATGTAGGCAACGCCCTTATCCACCTGAACCAAACATGGAGAGGCCAGCAACCCAACTGGCAACCCGGACTCAGAAGGTTCAAAAAGCACAGCCTGACCTGACAACTGCTGAGAACAAGTAGTGGCCACCAGCTGCATAACACCACCAGGTATCCGCACGGCCCGCGGGCCCTGTACCTTAACGGTACCGACAGGGTCCTCTGGGACTTGGGCTGCAGACTGGTGACACTGATGTAAGGCCTCCAAAACTGGTCTCGGTGCCTGTGACACAGAAGGAGAATGAAACAAGGAGCCACCGAAAGCCCCAAACAGTTCTTGATAACAGCGGCGGATTACGTTCATTCCTAAGATGCCAGGGACAGAGGGCGTAGCCCCAGGAGGGTCCTTCACTATAAGGATTCCACAAGAGGGCATTTCCTTGCCACACAGGAGTACACTGAGCTCCAAATAGCCAATGTAAGGGATGGCAAGCCCATTGGCAGCCCGAAGCTGTAGCCAATGACATGACTGAAGGCGTTCTTGTCCCCAAGGGGCAAAATGTGCCAAAAAGAAACTTTCTGTGATGGTGGAAACCATGGACCCAGTATCCACCAAACAAGGGACAGTTACCCCACTAATAAGCACATCCATCTTTGGACACGATGAAATTAGCCTGCCAATCCTATCTTTCTGTGAGCCAGTGAACTCCCCACCTGAACTGTGACTCTGCAGCACAGATGGCGTTAGTTTTCCGACTGGGTAGCGGGAAGATGATTGCCAACTGCGGCGTAAGGAGGGTCTGAATCAGAACCTGCTCTAGGGCGGCGTGAAGCCCGCTCCCCAGTGCACTCCCTAGCAAAGTGTCCTGGCTGCTGACACCGGCGACAAATCACCGAGCCAGCCCGTGAAGGCCGAACACTTCTTCGGGGGTTCTGTAAAGAAGCCACTGTCTCAGTGAGCTGATTTAACTGCTCTTGTTGGCGCTTTAGGAGTTCCTTTAGCTCACGCCACTCGGACTCGGGTGTACCAACAGGAGCGAACCTAGGGCTAGTGTGCACTCCACACTGAAAACCATATGCCGATGGTTGAGAATAGCCACGGTCGCGAACACCGCCTGAAAACCCTTCTCTTTCCCATCTAATTGCTTCCCCGCGCACCTCTAACAAGGTGGCAGTGGGCACACGGCGAACGTATTGTTTAAGCTCTCTGCGGAGACCACTATCAACAACATGTTCTACAAATTGGTCTCGGAGCAGCACCTCTGCGTTACGCATACCATCAGGTGCACTTTGTTTTACTTGCTCCATCAGAGCCATTAGCGCTAAGGAAAACTCCTGCAAAGTCTCTTCCTCCCGTTGTCTCCTCGAAAAGAAAGCCTGCTGCAGAGTGACATAGGACTGCGCATTGCCATACAGTTCCTTTAAAATGGTCAACACCCGAGCAGGATCCCCTCGCTCTAAATTAGGGCGAAATTTGATCTCCTCCCTTGCTTCTCCCTCTAAATGGTCAAAAATAAAGAAAGCTTGATCAGCAACAGACAGGTGCCGGGCACGCATGCATGCTTGAACCTCTTCGACCCATTCAGCTATATTGATGCCTGTTCTACCATTGAACATGGGACATTTACGGTCCCTAGGCACCACCACCAGACGCTCTGTAACGGCGGCCTGGCTACCAACATTTGGTATGCAACCAGCTGGTACGAAAGAGGATGACGCGGCCCCACCACCAGACTCGAGCACAGCGCCCCCATCCCGGCGCAATTGCTCATTATCTGCCCTTAACTGCGCTACCAAGTCTCTAAGTTGCTGCAATTCTTCCTCCATAATAAATTTTGACCCCAAAAAAAGAGAAAATTAAATCAGCAAGGTGCTAAAATCCTATTACTCTTCCTTCTACCTGGATACTGCTGTCTTGTCTATAATCACACTCTAAAACAAATAGAGCCTTCAAACAGGTGAACTAGACTCGTTGCAAAAAAATAAAACAATTTACAAAACCAAACATCTACCTCAAACGTGCACCCTGTTCGTGACGCCAAGTATGTGACCAAGTGGTCGGCGGGGTTATGCACAAAATAAATAAACTTAACAACGCCACCTAGGGGAATTACACCCCCAGGAAATATATTTAAGAAAAATAAATAAAAGGAATAAAAGAAGACCGCACAGATTCAAGGATGCACACTGAGGCAGGTTGGCTTCCAATATTAAAACAGTTTTATTTATAGAAATAAATAAAATATTATAAATAATATTTTATAAATAAAATATTAAAAGTCAAGATGTAGCGTCATTATTGACAGTGTCCTACAGTAAAAATAAACAATCGTGGAACTTGGACTTACCAGCAGCCGTGGAACCAAAAGAAAATCACACCAAAAGAATCACTGCAGACCACCCAGTGCTGTACAAAAGAAAGTGTGAAAACGACCCACCACCTGAGGTCCCAGGGCCACTGGCTCGTCCTCCTTCACTGAAATAAAACACAGAAAAGTATGTTAAAAGAATAAAAGGACACTGAGCGTCAGGCTCGCTACAAATCATAAAAAGACTAAAACACACGTTAATAACTTTAATAAAAGAAATCACACACACACACACACACACACACACACACACACACACACACACACACACACACACACACACACACACACACACACACACAAGGCTTATTCCCCACGGGTCAAACTACCACTCGTGCTGGTAATAATTATTCTCAGGCGTAGGCCGGTCTGGCTCCCCACCGGCTGAGACCGGCCACCCAGGCGATTTAGAGTCCCAGCACGACACTCGGGCAGAGAATCACTTCAGCCCGATCACAGAAGTGTGGGTACGAGCAACAGTCCAGGGTAAAATAGAACACCAGGCGAACCCAAAAAAAGGGTAAGCCTACTTAATAAAAACAAGATAAGACAAAACAAGACAAGACAGCAGACTCCACCAAGGAGGAGTTCACAACAGCAACTGAGAAGGCAGTCCACTCTTCCAATTTAGGTTGGACAATTTACCATGGAGAGGTGAGTACAGCAGTGAACCCTGAAACAGATAAGTGTAACCTTAAACTCTTATAGCTATGAATGCTAATAAAAGTAGTTCTAACAGCTTACCCCAGGACCGGAGGCACTATACTCTCATTGGTGGAGATACCACGAACACCTCTCTCCGCAATGGCAGAATTAAACAGACTGCTGCGCTACAACAGGCCGGAAAAGGATATTAACACCAATTCCAGTATTCGGAGGGAATCCAAGGTTAAGCGAGAGCATACCTGTAGCTGTCGTATAATCGGCTCTTGCTGATCAATCCGTCGCAGTACGCCAGCATTTACTGCTGTATCGTACCAGAAGCTCGGGAGGAATTAATCCAACAAGACATCGGCTTAGCTTTATACAGGCTAGCGCCACCCTGCAATCAATGTGCAGGTGGGTTCCCAATTAACCCGATCACCTGATACAAGGAGCGAGTGCAGTGGAAAGAGAGCGAGGGTGGTAGAGCGAGCGAGAGAGAGAGAGAATGAGAGGAGAAAAACAACGGAAGGCGAGTAGCCCATCTGGCTACAAGTGCATCTATAATAAATATGTGCAAGTTTCAGTGCTTCGTTTAAACTGTATGATACTTATACTGACCCAGGGTCAGTGTAAAATACAATCCTAGCTGTGTGAACAAAGCCACTGTAAATTTAATCCTGCATGACGAACCTCAGGATGCAGGTTATTATTACTCTTTCCTGCTGGCACACCTGTCACACCTGAGAGTCAGCTAGAAACTTACAGTGACGTGGACATCATGCAAAGACTGCCAGACTCTGTAATACTGCAAAGGATCAGTGACTCTCTGTGTGCTGAACATCTAGGATTGAGTCAGGCTGCATTGACTGTGGGACTTTAATGTGTTAAAAGCAGGTTGAAGACGGCTCAGAAACATTTGAAGATTAAAATTTAGCATTATGGCTTCTGGTGGTTTGTAAAGCCTCTACTCAGCTGTATTTTTGTTACTAATTTATGTTTGTTGTTGTTTAACACAGATTTCAGAAGAGCAAATATGCTTAATAGTTTAACTAGATTTCATTTGTCAGTGTGGGACTGCTGAGTCACCTGAAGAACTCGTTTCATTCATTCTCCACATGATGTTCATTTACAGAAATGTTTCACAGGAACTGATTTCTCCCAAAGGGTGAACTAGTGTGTTTCCATAGATTACCTCTGTATGAATGTACTTCTTAAATGAAGGCAAGTGTTTGTCCTTTTTTGTTCCTCAGGTACAGTACGTGATATCAAGGGCAGGCGGTCAACACTGGGGGTAGACAAGAAGCAGACGTACTTCCAAGAGGGAGCTGCAGTGAGGTCAGAATCTGAAACAGCTCAGGTTTATATTTTAGAGGTTATAAAAAATCAAAATGTATTTATAAAGAAACCTTTAAATAATAGTCATAATTATGATTATTATAAGAAATATCAAACATTTAAGTGGATTTTCTGTTACACATATTGTGTTAGCCCTGCAATAAACTGGCAGCCTGTCTTTGTCCTGTATCAGCTGGGATAGGCTTCATCCTCCTGCAACCCTGAATTGGATACATTGTATTCCAATTATCTAATCTGATCATTTACAAACTCAAGGTATCTAATCAAAATGTAAGTAATAATTATAAAATGGGAAAGCAGAAATAAGTGTGACATAAATGTAAATGTGTGAGCTGACATAGAGGACAGCTACATGTAGTCTGAAAAACCTTTGTTGTCAAGTTTGCAGGTCTATCAGCACGAGACATTCTTACATAGAAGAGACTGTTAAAGTCTCTAACTCAGTGAAGCATTATTGGTCCCGTCTGTTTGGATAAATATAGTAAGTTGATGTATGTGCATTTATTGACACATTTTCTTAAGTGCTTATCCAGTTCAGGATCACAGTGGAGCTGCAGCTGGATATGTTCACTAAATAAACCTTACAAAAATTAACAATAAACCTGCATCCATGTATGTTGTTGTCCACAGGATGAGAAAATCAAACTGGAAGACTGTGGAACATGTTAATAAATGTTTGTGTGTTTATGCCTGTGTCTTTCACAGGAGGCGCTGGAAGGTTTCCCTAATAGTTCCTGGTGAATCAAAGCAGAACCATAAAGGTTGCTGGACTGCATGATGGCCTTACCCCTGAGCAGTCATCCTGTTAAAGGAGGAACCACTTATAAACTGTTTTCAAAGTAGCTGAGCAGATTTAATCTCAAGTAAGCGATTAACTGTTTGTTCGTTTGTTCTGCCACTTAAAGAGCATTTAAGGACGTCTTTCGAGTGTCCAGTTGAATTAATTCTACTGGCTCTCATGGTCATTTGTTATTATAGACATATTTTTCATGTTCATCCAGCTATTTAGTAAATTCTATCTATTTAGTAATATCCGTCAGCTATAAAATGTAATATAAATATAAAAATATCTAAATATCTCCTGTCCTTTATGTTTTAATGATGTAAGTCTGTTATCGTGTTACATTAGCATTCCTCACATATCAATGAGATGCTGTACAGTACAATCCTACTGACGCAGCAGAGGGATAACGACGGCTATTCAACATCGTTACACGACACATTCAAGCTGCATGATGCAGACAAAGTGACTAAATCATCTTTTTTGTGGTTTATTGTCTTCAAACCAGCAGACAAAGCCGATGGCAGAAGATGTCAGAGAAGAACTTCAGGCCGTGGACTGAAAAGGTATTTTTGTCTTGTTATCAAAAGACATTTGGAGTGACGGCTTCTACAACTGGTTGTGCTAAAGTAAAGCTTACAGTCTAAGAAATCACAGTGTTGATATTCAGCACAAAGAGAAAAGCTCACTTGTTTGAATTTATTTACAATCATAGTTTTTTATAAATTCTGACTGTAAACAGCTTTTACAGCTTTGATATTGTTTGACACTCGATATCAGGTGATAGGGTTTAATTTAAAGGTTTCTGTGTCCCAATGAGCCATTTACACTGACCAGTATCAGTTTAACTGTAACACATTCATTATTTAGATTCAACAAAGAAATAACTGAATGTAAAAAATGGCAGCCCTCAGGCCAGGTTTATAGAAATATATGCATGCATTATGAAATTTATGTATCCCAGATAATTGTTATTCATCTAGTCATGGCAGACCTACCTCTTCCTCCCAAGTTAACTGCAACCCAAAAGAACTAGTGGGGCTATTTACACACTCACAACCAGTGTGGGGTAAAAAGAGCCACCAAAAAGCTGTCAGCCACAGATGTGCTAGAAGAGTTAGAAACTCTACTTATGGAGAAGCTTTCTAAGTCTAACAGAGGACAGGTACTCCTGCCCAAATAACATGATATAACCCCACATACAGCCCAGCCATAAAATGAACCAAGTCATTTAGTTAAAGACAGCATGGGACCAAATGCATGTAACCAGCCTGCATCAACCTGACATTTCTTCCTCCTGAATTAAATGAATGAATGGATGAAAGTTAAATGACTACAAACGTAAAGCCACTAGTTCCCACACTGGAGCTCCCTGATACTGTGTGTTAACTGTATTTAGCTTTTATCAACAGTTGTAACAGGCTAAGCCACCTGAGACACTGCATTGAATGATTGTTCCTGTCTTAATGATTTCAGCTGACTGGTTTCAGCTCAGATGTTCTGCTTTTTCCTTTCAGTAGATCAAAGCAGCTCGTGCTCCTTCTGCTTCCAATTTAGAAGAAGAAGGCGAAGGCTTCAGCGAAGTGGCGTTCATGGTCTCAGTGAACAGTCACGGTCACACACTGCATGTGGTTTTAAAAGCAACATGTCTGTTCACCACAACAATGGAGATGTGTAATATTAGTGCAGCTACGGTTTGTTTTTGAACATCAGGGCCCTGTTTCAGGAAGCCGGTTTAGTGGAAAAACTGAGTAAGTATACCCTGAGTTAACGAAAACTCTGGGTTTTCGGTTTCACAAAGCGAGTTCAGCTGCAGCCTGAGTGAGTCACTATGACGACACACGCCGTGAAGCTAACCTGCCCCTAGCAGGTTTACTACAACTAACCCTGACTGTCTCCGCCTCTTTGTCAGAAACCTGACAGTAGGAAGTGTCGGACATGGCGTGCCACTTCCTTGAAGAGCCAGTAGATCGTGAAGCCCAAATTCTCCGCAGAGCTCTCCGCCGGGAGAGAGTGATTCGAGCGCGTCTGGACATCTTATCATTACCTGATGATTTTCTGTGCGAACGTTACCGTTTCTCAGCACAATCAATAAGTTATTTGAATAACATCCTCAGGCCATATATTACGCATGTGACACATCGCGGACATGCTCTCAGTTCCGTACATATTATTTGTATTGCACTTCGGTTTCTTGCAAACGGGAGCTTTCTGTATAATATTGGTGACGCTGAGCACGTTTCCAAGGCTACCGTCTGTCGGGCAGTCAGGAATGTTACAGTTGCACTGAAACGTCTCCTGTACTCGTTTGTGGTGTTCCCCGGTCATAGACCCACAAGATTCATCAAAGAGGGATGCCACAAAATTGCAGGTATCAGGATGACCAAAACTTAATTTATGATGTGGTGATACTTGAACTACTACTTAAATTTTACATTTATTTTCACGGTTCCCAGGCGTGATTGGCTGTATAGATGGCACTCACATTCCAATTATTGCTCCTTCAGTAAATGAAGGAGACTATGTGAACAGGAAGTCTTTCCACAGCATTAATGTACAGGTACATAGTTCCCTGTAGCATTTCAAACTAACAAATTATTTCATTATAGTAATGGATGCTAATTTGTGTTCTCTGCACTGTGAAGATCATATGTGATGCTGCCAACATTATCACAAATGTGGAAGCCAAGTGGCCAGGCTCTGTCCATGACTCACAAATATTCCGTGAATGTACACTGAGCACAAAATTTGGACATGGTGAGTTGAAAATACTTTAAAATATATAAAGACCAATTGCTTCAGGGACATTTGAACTGAAGTGTATCCTTCTGTCTTAGGAGAGTTCACTGGCTACTTGCTTGGTGATAGGGGGTATCCATGTTTACCCTATTTGCTTACCCCTTACTCTGACCCTGAACCGGGCCCACAGCAGCGATATAATCTGGCTAATTGCAGGACAAGAGCCAGAGTTGAAATGACTATCGGAATGCTTAAGGCCCGGTTCCAGTGCCTGCAAAGACTCAGGGTCACCCCAGAAAGGGCATGTGACATTATTGTGGCATGTGTGATTCTTCACAACATTGCCACAATTAGAGGAGAACACTGTCCTTCTGAACCAAACATCAGCAGTGATCCAAACCATGAACATCCTGACCCTCCCACGGACATACAAGATGGAAGAGCAGTCAGAGACACCATATGTCACAATCATTTCTTTTGACCCATCACCTCAACATGTTGAAAGAAGAATAAACAGATTTTTTGTTCAACTGGCTTTATTGGTCACCTGTGTTTCCTGTACACAAAGTATTAAAAGATGTAAACCTCATAAAGTGTCTCTGTTGCTTCCTCCTCTGTAACAGCTGTCAATGTTTCTTCATTATTTTCCTGTAGTAAAGAAATAAACAACATTGCTGTTCTACTGTAAACTCATATAATCTGTGGAGTATTACTCACAACTGCATGTTGGTCTGGCTCAACAGGAGGCTGCACCAGATGCAGTACACCATCACCATCAACTGATAGAATATGAGGTTTATACAGGTCACTTATAACTTACAAGGGACCAAATGGCAATTAACAAACATACCAATCACCTTACACTTCATTGTCATTATGCTCTCAAAGACAACCAAGACTGAGGGAAGGCAAAATCAGTAGGAAAATAACTTCACTACAAAATAATCCATTATGGTAAAGAGTTTATCAAATGAATGAGTAGCACTGCAAAGGTGACTGTGAAGAAAGGATGTATGCACATCATGTATTATTTTGAATTTACCCCCTATGTAGGCACTTGTGTCTTGCGGGGTTATTGACTCAGAGGATGTCCCCGCAGAGATGCCTTCGGCCACAGGGCGCCCACTGTTTTGGCTGAGGGCCAACTGCTCAGCCTCTGTGAGTGGTGGTGGTGGAGGACCCCCACCTGTTTTTCGGGCCTCCGCTTTTTTTCTGTTGGCTATAACGGGCCACATTTGAGCATACAGAGTAAGCAAATATGTACTTGTAATGTGCTCAGATAATTTCAATAAGTGCTTACAGAAAGAAAATTAATGTAGCCTCTAACTGCAATTGATTTACATGGGACAAACAGACCAAGCACTGTGGCTCATAATACAATTACACCTTACCTGTTTGGACTATATTTTTATATTTCATTTTTACTTGCTGCCAGGAACGTTTGGGGCCTGTTGGGTTGCACCTGCGCTCACATCACATCACAAAATAAAATGTATAAAATAACAAATAAAATAACATATGATAAAATAACGTGTTAAATGGGTGGAAATCCCTAGATCAATGTTTATATTAACACTCACGCATTGACTCTGTCGGCTATGTTTTGCCATGCATGCTCACTTTCTTTTGCAGCTGTCGCTGTGTTACTTTTTCCGCGGAATTTGCATGTTATCGGCATATGCTGCCATCAGAATTTCGGCCTCAAGCGCTGTAAAATACATTGACCGCGCCTTCTTTCCCTCCGTCTCCATGGTGACTCGCTTAATCTGTGCTCCGCTTATCAGGGCTTTATGTATCCTCGTCCGCGCGCTTCACTTGGGGTTAAAGCAACTCCGCCTTGATTGAACTAATTGTTATCAGCCTTTCTGGAACGGAATATTCCGAGTTGGACAGTTCGGGGTTACTCAACCGTGAGTGTCGTTTTTCACTCTGAGTTTTCCAAACCGGCTTCCTGAAACAGGGCCCCGGGCCCTATTTCAGGAAGCCGGTTTAGTGGAAAAACTGAGTAAGTATACCCTGAGTTAACGAAAACTCTGGGTTTTCGGTTTCACAAAGAGAGTTCAGATGAAGCCTCAGTGAGTCACTATGACGACACACTCCGTGAAGCTAACCTGCCCCCTAGCAGGTTTACTACAACTAACCCTGACTGTCTCCGCCCTTTGTCGGAAACCTGACTGTAGGAAGTGTCAGACATGGCGTGCCTCTTCCTTGAAGAGCCAGTAGATCGTGAAGCCCAAATTCTCTGCAGAGCTCTCCGCCGGGAGAGAGTGATTAGAGCGCGTTTGGACATTTTATCATTTCCTGATGATTTTCTGTGCGAACGTCACCGTTTCTCAG